TGTGGGCTTTTGTAATCTCTTTTTGTCATTCTAGTTTATTCAGTGGAATATTCACAGAAGTGGCTTGAAGGTGTCTGAGTACCATCTTCCCACCGAAGCTACGGGTCCTTTTGTTCTGTCTGGGTACAGTGGCTACAAGCAAGTCCAGTTCCCACGAGGAAGGCTTTTTGCTTTTGACTCTGAGGGCAACTATATGTTGACGTGTTCCTCTACTGGGGGAGTAATTTTTAAAGTAAGTCTGAGAAGTGGTGGGGAATGCTCTTACGCATCCATACAAGCTCTTGTTAGAAGGCTGCAACGCCAGCAGCTAGAGGTTCTTGAGCAGCACGTACCCATCCCGGCTCTGTGAAAGTTGCTGCTCAGTTTGATGTGGTGTTTAGCAAGTGTTTGAGCCCCCTGTACTTGTTTGGCTTTCTGTATGTAGGCAGAGTATGGATGCTGCATGTTCTTCAGCTTAGCTGCAGCCGTTTTCCTTGGTGCCCAGGTGCCTAGGATGAAGTTTTGGGTTGTTTTTTTTTTTTTTTAGCATATTAGTACCTGCCAGTTCATTGCAAAATTTGTGATTGTTGGCTGATGCTTATCTTTAATCTGCCTTGTGTGCTTGCTACTACTATGTTAGTCCCAGCCTGATTATCTGCTCTTAGTGTACACTGAAATTAAGGGTAAGGCTGAATGGTTCCAAGTATCCAAATTTCTGTGCCACCGCAAGAGGTGGTTACTGACTGCAGCCCCCTTGTCTGATTCTTTAGTCATTACAGTGAGTATAAGACACTGCAAGGCAAATTAGAATTTTTACTTTGCATCTGGGGCATTCAGAGCACCTATACTAACATGAGTTATAGCTTAGGCCTATGTGCTCCTCATCAGTTTGTGCTCTTAGACTGCCTTGCTCAATTCCTGCAGCTCAGCCGATGTCAGGAGCTGAGAACACAGCTTCTGTCATGAGACTGGAAATCTAATTCTGCATGTGTGCTACATACATCTCAACTTCTCTCTGATTTGTGGCTTAATTACGTATGCTGATAAGGATGTGGAGTCTGTAGCACACTTTGGCTTCTCCTGTTGGTGCACTGCCCCTGCTGAAGAAGCTTGCCTCCTTAAAATCTTATGTTTTCCTTCTTTTAGTTAAATGGTGAGGAAAAGGTTCTGGAGAGCTGCCTTTCCCTGGGAGGACACAGAGCTCCCGTTGTCACAGTGGATTGGAGCACGGCCATGGACTGTGGGACCTGCCTCACTGCCTCTATGGATGGGAAGATTAAATTAACAACCTTACTGGCTCAAAAGTCTTAACCTGGATAGTGCTGAAGGGAAAGAGCAACGGCCTTGACGGAAGCAGTGTTAACTCCACAGGAACAAACTGCATGGGAGAGAGAGGGCAACACGGTCCTTCTTCTCGTTGTACCTTTTGTCTCTTGACAAACATTAAATACATTTGCCAAACCACTGTGCAACAGAGTGCTGATATGGGACCAAATCAGTGGCAGCACTGAAAAATGCAGTCTCCACTGACCCATTATAGCAGCTGTGATCCCTCCATTGGGGAATCTTGAGTAGCACGTGGCTAGAAGGCTTGGTGTCTGCAACGGTTGCTGCCATCTTTCTGCCTGGCAGTGCTGGATACAGTCTACAGTTGTTATGTCTGTTGCCAGATATAGTTACAGCTAAGAGGAGGTCAGACTTGGGCAAAAGGTTTGTGAAAAAAGCAGGCAGGAGGTCTGTCCAAATAAGACTGGGCCTGCATGAATGTATGGATCGGTATGAGATGTCTGGATCAGCGGAGACATCTGTGCGTTAAAAACACAGCGTCATGGAGGCTGGAAGTGGCCTCATCTTGTCTGGCCCTTCCCTGGCCTGCCCAAAGCAGAGTCGGGCAGGGCAGGTCATGCAGGGCCATCTCCAGTCTGGAGCATCTCCAAGCAGGGAGACTCCACAACCTCTCTGTGGCACAAATGTAAGTCACCAGCAGACCGAGCTGGGTCCTTCAGCCCATGGGCTCAGGAGGCCCACTGGGGTGTAGGCAGAGGCCTTCAGGCCCCGCCTGAGCTGCAGCATCCCTGTCTTCAGGTTCACTTTCACCTGAAGACGGAGTCCCTGTCCTTAGCTCTATCTTGGCTGTGCCTGTGCCTGGCCATGGCCCTCGCTGTTCCAGAAACCGGCTTGCAGGCTGCCTTCCCTGCCTGCCCTCGGCCTTCCTGTGGGCCTGCTTGGCCATCGCTGACCAGCAGCATCTGACCCTGCTTGCCACTGTTACCATAAAAGTCGATGGGAGAAACTCTCTAAGACTCAGCTTGGAGTTTCAGAAAGCAGGCGTTTTTTATTGCAGTGCTGGGCGCGCACACGCATCATTTTGCAAAGGTGAGCACACCCTTTACTTGCCAGCAGCAGCTGTGTATTTAGCATACTCATGCATATTCATAGCATTTCCAGGAACTAATTATAATATTTACATTCTAATTATGCATATGCTTTCTTGCTGAGTGGGGGTCTCTGGTGATCACTGATAATCTTCCTCACTGTGTTTACTGAATGACCTCAGTGCTTGTGCACGCTTGCAAGGTCCTAGTGCCAAGTTAGCAGTTTATATGTCCTTGCTTCTGTTCTGTTCCAGTGCCAATCTGCTGTCTTGGAACACTAGCATCCTTGGTCTCACTTACTGTCTCCTTAGTTGTTACCAGTCCTGTGATGTTCCTTCCCTTGTCAGCTGAACATTCTTTTCTCTCTACGTGTTAGTAAGTTAGAGCATTGTGGTCTAGTCTACGTTAAAAGACACACACACTGTTGTTAGTTTAAACTTTAAGCCTACACCATCACTGGGCCTGAACCCCAACACAGCCTGGCCTGACCTTCTGGCTTACCCTCAGAGCTGTTGTCTCACCAGGCACTTGTTTGTGGGTCTGGGCCCTTGGCTGCTCACCCTGGGACTGCCCTGGCCCTCCTGCTGGGTAGGCCAAAGCTGGCCCTGCTGTGCTGGCCATAGGACCTCCTTTGGCTCCCTACCTCTGAGGCAGCAGCATGCCTATGCTAGTTACTGTGGTCTCTCACCAGAGGAAAGGTTTTTCTTTAGGCTGAAGTGGGATTCCCCCTGCTCCAGCCTGTGCCCATTTCTTCACACCTTTCCCCTCAGTGGGCTCTAAATCTGCAAGATCCTCATGGGATCTGCAAAGCTTCTGATAACATGGCAGATGCTTTTCCTCATGGGATTATATCTTTAGATCACTCTTGAGGGTGGCCAGCAGGCCGAAGGAGGTGCTTCTCTCTTTCTGCTCTGCTCTGAGATGACATCTGGAGGACTGCATCCAGCTCTGGGGTCCCCAGCATAAGGAAAACATGCATCTCTTAAAGCACGTGCAGAGGAGGGCCCTGGAAGTGGTCATAGGGCTGGAACATCTCTCCTGTGAAGAAAGGCTGAGAGATCTGGGGTTATTCAGCCTGTGGAAAAACAGGATCTAGGGAGACCTTACTGCAGCCTTTCAAAGCAGATGGAGAGAGCCTTTTTACAAGGCCTGCAGTGACAAGACAAAGGGCAAAGGTTTTAAACTAGAAGAGGGTACGTTTGAATTGGACATGAAGAAATTTTTTGCAGTAAGGGTGGTGGGACACTGGAACAGATTACCCAGAGAACTTGTGGGATGCCCCATCCCTGGAAGTGTTCAGAGTCAGCTTGAATGGGACATTGAGCAACCTCTTTATCCAGCCCTACTGCTTCAAAATGGGAATGAAATGAGGTCCAAAATGCAATTGAGGTCCAGACACAAACACCTCCTTTCAACAGCACTCCAAAAAGAACTCGGAAGCAAGGACAACATTCCTTAAACTGACAGGCTCTCTCTTGGTTATTTGCATCAGTCTCTAACAGAATCACCTCTTTTTCCCCTGGACAGCCAGTCTGAGTCGAAGTCAAAGCATACTTCTTTAACTGAAGCTGTTCTCCCTCCAATAAGGAGAACTGAGGTAGAGTACAGGAACACAGTGGGAAAAGGAATCTACAGAAAAACTGCATCGTCACACCACATTGCAGCACTGGGGCTAGAGAAGTGTGACAGCTGCTACAGGCAGTACATATCCAACAGAAAGTAAAGTACTTCATTCTTAGAGAAGAAATCAGAATCTTCCTTGTTCTCCGCTCCAACCACTGGCAAGACTCCTACAGAGAAGGTAAGAAGCACAGGGCTGCTCTGAGTGCTTATTTCACTCTGCCTTCCCCACCTGCTTCTTGACAGAGAAGATTTCAAAGAGAACCCTTTAGATCTCAAGGAATTATCATTGCTCTGCTGTCCTGCAAGGGACCCTGTTTCTGCTGTGCACCCATTTGCATTGGGAAGCAGCACGCCAGTTGACTCCAAGCTCTGTGGGGATTAACTACATTGTACAGGTGTTGTTTTGTGACAGTCCTGGCAGAAGATCCGTTGGGCACCAGTGAGAGACCCTTTTCAGATCTGCTTCATAAGCAGAACTGAACACCGAATGAAAATCCCCAAACAGACGAGAAAAGGGGAAATTAAAACATGTTCCAGGCCAAGGCTGCCATGCCAAGTGGTGTACTAGCGCAACATTAATACTGTGCCAGAAGCTTGGAGGCAAGGAATGGACATCTTGTTTTGCTACAGCAATCCTCAGACATGCTTTATTCCTAAAGGGGTTTCTACTCCACAGGGGTTTTGCCCAGGCACCCTACTCTCCTGCTTTCCATCGATACAGGCTGACTGAAGGGCCAGGGGGATAAGAAATGAAGTTGAGATTCTCAGAGAGATCGATGGGGGGAAGTTTTCCTCAACTTGAAATACACTCTTGACACGGTAAGAGATGCCTCAGAGGGACATCGCTGAGCCCAGCTTCAACAGAGGTCTCAAGGCCTCATGAAACCCTGGTGATGTTACTAAAAAGGGCCGTACATCAGTATGGACATTCCCAGAATGCAGCTGCTCTAATTAGAATGTAAAATACGCAGGATTTAAACACCTTCTGGAATGCATTGTTGCTGTGTAGCCCGCGCTGTCTATACAAAAAGGATCAGCACCATGCCGATGAAGAGTCTGTATTATATTCAAATCCCCAACCATAACAGCAATCATAAGAGCAGTCCTAAAGGGTCCAAGAGATGACAGGAAATACATCAGCTTCTGTGGACATCGCATTGCCATTACTTCAGTTCCTCTTTGCTCCCCAATTAATTTCCCCTCTCCTACAGGCAGAGCGAAAGCACAGCCAAATACGTGGAAGCGTTGGAGAATTCAGGTCGGTGGGACCTCAGGAGGTCTCCAGGCCAACCCTGTGCCCAGAGCAGGTTCAGGGCATATGTGCATGTGTGTGGCAGTGCTTTCTTGCAGTCCTCAGTGCGGAAACCATCCCCTGAGGTAAGAGAGCAGCCAAGTGCAGGTCACACAGAAGGAGCTCCTCCAAGCAGCTCCTGGTACTTTTTCAAAGATAATTTCTATTCCTCCCACCAAACCAACTTGGACAGTGCTAAGGAGTTCCACATGCACTCCTGACAAACCCTTTACCTTTCACTCTTAAAACGAGCATTTACGTCAGCTCCTTCCTGAAGCAGCAACTCAACTATCTCTTCGCAGTGCATACAGACTGCCTCAGCAAGTGGAGTTTGTCCAAGCTGAAAGTAGACATCACCTCCGTTAGATTAACACAGAAAAGTCAAACAAGTTTGGGGAAGAGGAGCCTTACCCAAAGTCCAAGATTACCTCATTCACAGCATCAGTATGGGCATTGTGCTCCAGTAACAGCTCCACTAGACATTTACTCTTTACTGAGGTAGCCAGGTGAAGGGCAGTGTTGCCAACAAAATCTCTGAGGTCAGTTCAGGCACCGAGCTCCAGCAGAGTAGCTACACAGTCTTCGTGCTTGAGCTCTACTGCCTGGAAACAAGACAGAAAGGAGGAATGACTACCAACAGCGACGTTTTTCTGTCAGAACTCTGGCACCTTCCCAACACTGGAAAGTACAAGCATCTTCAAAGATCAGGCAACATATGCCCCTTCCCTGCTGACTGCAACATACCTGTTTTATGTAGGCCTACATAAAGAATCGTGCAAGGTATGCATCACTCAGTGCACAAGTGAATAGCCGAATAAACAACAGCAGAACATATTCCACCTGCTCTCATCAGCGGCGTTTTCTTGTCTTTGTCACAAGGATCGAGGTGGCACTGATTTCCTGCCAGAAACCGAATGACATCTGCATGCCCATTCTCACAAGCAAGATGCAGAGGTGTCCTAGAAATTAAACATGCTCTGTTAACACAGACACACAGCTGAAGATCTTGTTTCAGGCTGTGGTACCCACCACACAGGCCAACAAGCCTCAGCCGGCAAAACAAAACAAAGGCCGAAAGGAAGCTTCCTCATTGCCCAACAGGTGGCAGCGGTTGCATGCCCAAAGCCTGGGGCTGGCTAGGAAAAATCCACAAGGTGTCTGTTGTGTCAGGAGACGTTTTCTCAGCTGTGTGCATGAACTCACACAGACTCCTGTGCCCAGGCACTGATCCCTGCCTGCAGCAGGACTGCCTGGCCACCCAGCGCAGCAGAGACCACGTCTTGGCAGCCTGGAGTCTGAGGTGTCTACGTAAGGCTATGGAGTCTGTGTAAGCCCCTGGGCTTTCCCCCTATCAGTCCCGTGCTGGAAGTGTCCCAGAGACAGTGGGAGTGAGGTTTCTAATAGCAGTAGGAAGGCTGTGCCGTGTCTGTCTGCAAATCTATGCCCTGCCCAAGCAAGCCGCTCAGCCTGGCAACAGAGGAGGATCCGTCTCTGCTTGGATGAACGCCTTCTGAGCTCCACAGAAAACTGACTAGTGGGACAGACGATGCTCGAGGTTCCTGCTAAGCTGGTATTCTATGATTCCATGACCAGGCTTGCAGAGCAGGGCAGGCACGGCGGGGCGAAGCATCTGCCACCTCCCGTTCCAGCTTGGGCAGGCCTTCGGTAAGGCCAGCCCTGTGGAGGCGGTCCCCTTCCTCTGGTGCTTGCGACCCAGCGTGGCGGGCTCTGATGGCTCTTCCAGCCAGGGAGGGTGGAGGCTTCGCTGCCGGCACTGCCCGCCCGTTACCGCTTTTCGTGCCGGGGCGAGCTGTGCCTCTGCCGGGAGCGCGCTCTACCCGTTGAGGCTCCCGCGCCGGGCATGGCGAAGGCGGGCCCGCGGCAGCGGGTCCTCCCAGCCTGGATGGGGACGGCAGGTGACGATGGGCCTGCCGTGGCCCCCGTCCCCGCGGGCCGGCGGCGGAAGGCGGCGGCAAGGCCCAGGTAGCGACGCTGCCCCTGGGGCTGGGGGCACGGGGGACCAGGACAGTGCCAGTCCCGCGCTAAGTGTCTCCCTCCCCATGCGGCGCCCAGGGCGGCAGTGGTGCACTGCATGAACGAGGCGGAGCTGGTTAACGCGGCCCTCGCGGTCCTGGCCGAGGTGAGCCCTGACCCCCGACCTAGCACCGCGTCCCTGGCCCTGGCCCTGGCCCTAGCAGGGTACGGGCAGGAAGCGCTGCCGCCCGCAGCTCCCGGGAGGGCCCTCTCCAGGAGGCGGAGCTGGGAACGCTGCTGAGCACCGCCCGGGTTTCCCGGGGACCTCCCTCCGTTTCTCGGAGGTCGGCCGGGGCCTGCCCGGTGCTCCTGTCCGGCGGCGCCGTGAGACAAACCCAGCGCCCCCCGAGGCCCGGCGAGGGGTGTCCCGCGGGGTGCTGGGCTGCCCTCACCCCCACCTCTTGGGGGCTCCCGGGGTGAAGCCGCCCACAGCCGGGTCTGTTTGTTTTCCTTTTCGTCAGAAGCTACAGCGCGAGGAAGAGGAAAAGGCCTGGTCCCGGAGTGAGGAGGAGCTGGAGCTCCAGCCAACGTCAGGCGAGGCTCCTGGAAACACAGCCAGCACGGGGGGAGGCAGCGACCGCAGTCCAGCTCTCCCATCCCCTCCTGACGCTGGTGCTGATGCGGAGAGGACAGGCTGGGAGGACTCTCAGGATGATGTTCTGAAATATGTCAGGGAGATCTTTTTCAGCTGACGCTGTCCCCTCTGTGGCTGCCCAGCAGCAAAGGGGACAGTGAGGAGGCTGTCCCCTCCCACAGCAGGGAGGATAGTGGGAGGAGGGCGTGGAGTGGGCTGTGTATCTGCTGTGTTGGTGGCCTATGGAGCTGGTAGGATGGCTCAGCATCCTCTTCCCTGCCTGAAAGGGGGATGAATAAACCACATGAGGCTGGCACAGGTGCGATAACCTTTATTTAAATGAAGAATCGGTCCAACCAGCATCCCCAACCACATCCCCCACACCAAGACTGCAGCAGGAGGGAAAACGGACCCTCATGTCGCTGAAGGGGATGGGGGAGAAGCAGGTGCTTCTTTGTGTAAGGTTGCAGACAGGGCATAGAGCAGTGCTGTGCACCACTGTGGCAGAGAGACCCCATGCAATGGTCTGGCTATGGTGGCCCAGCTGGGGCACTGCAACCCAGACTTTGCCGGCCTTTGCCCTGCTCCCCAAGCACACCCTTTCGTGGGCTTGTGTTGGTCTGAGCTTTGTGGTGGTGTGCCCTCATACAGAACCAGTTCTGGAGTCTCAAAGGTTGCTGCAGTGCTGGGCTCAGCCCTGCAGTATCACTGGGGACAAACCTGGGGCTCTGCACCAAGATCCTCTGCTTCCTCATGGAAACCCTCCTCGTTAGGGTTAGGGCTCTGTTCAGCAAGTTGTTAAGCTGCCCCTCTGAGTGCGCTGCTGCTGCTGCAGGGGTTGGGTGTGAGCCACTTCACCCTAATTGAACTAGAGTCACTCCAGTTTCTGTTCCACGAGGCGAAGCACAGGTGCTCCTATTGAAGAGGGCCGTTTCCTATGTATGTCTGGGGATGACACTGCTGTGATGTCAGTGTGAAACCCACAGCTCCTGAGGTCACAATTCCGCACAGGCATCCCTGGTCAGTCCAGGAGGTGGAGGAGGAGCAGTGTCTTTGGACAACTCCAAGAAGGGAACCTGTTTGCTTTTCTGCCTGATTGTACTTAATGCGAGATCGAGCCGGGGGCTCTGTCCACTGTGTGCTTGTTCTGGTCTGTCCCCTCCACTGCTGTCTGGCTTGGCCAGAAGTGATCACCTTGTTCCTGTGCTCCAGGTCAAGCAGTGTGTGTTACACGCTGCTGTTCCTGGGAAGCTGCTGTGCTGTGTGGTGTGTGTTGGTGTGTGCTGCGGGCTTGCTGCGGGACTGCTGCCCAGGGCCGTGTGTCAGAGCGTGGCTGAACATGGGCCTTTGGACTAGGGATCAAATTCCTGCCACTGGCTAAAGCTACAGTGGGAGTTCTGTTTTAAACCAGGTTATCAACAGCTCTTGCATGTTCTTCACTGTCAAATCTCCATGAGTAGGGTGTTCTGTCAAACAGCTTTGACATGAGTATGTGTGTGCTTGGCCCAGCTGAGGTACATGGTGGCGGTGAGTGTGTGGAGCTGTAGCAGAGCCTGAGTCCCAAGCAGTGCCAGGAAGCCCCCAGTGAAGTCCCAGGGGTGAATCCACTGCAAGCTTTGGAAAAGAAACATACCCAGCCATCCAGACAGGGTTGTCGTCTGGATGATGAGTACGATGAGGATCATCTTCCAGCCTTCTTTTTCCTCTGTGCACTTTGCATGTGCGAAAAATATGGGGTAGAAGATGCTGAGGACCAGGCAGGTACCCACAGAAACCCTGGCTAGCACCAGTCCTGGTAGGCTGATGCCCATCCCCTGCAGATGCTTGTAGTCCAGGCACTGCAGCTCCTGGACTGTCTCATTCCACAGGCAGAAGCTGTGAAAGCCAATACATTTGTCAGGGAGGTTGATCAGGTTTGGAGGCAGCCTGGCTGAGAAGCCGGGGATGAACAGGAAAAAGCAGTGTCCAGCTGGGGCTTTTCCCAAGCTTCTGCAGACCCTCTGCCTCTATGTGAGAGTCTGTGGCTCTGCCTCAAAGGTGCGAGAAAAGGGAACCCAATGCACAGCGCAGCAAGAACCAGCATGGGTTCAGCTCCTTGTTTCTGGGCAGGCATCGCTGGAGGTACAGGGCTTTTCCCATGGGAGAGCTCTGTTTCTCAGTCTCCCAGGAAACTGAGGCTCCACATGCATGGCTTAGAAGTTCCCCGGGGTATGTGTGTGCGAGACGGGGCTCGTAGGGACCCCCTGTGCTGATGGAACTGCACAGCCCTTCCCTTCGCTGGCTTGTAGGTGGGTGAACACCTTCCCAGGCTGGGGCTGTGCCTTCTCCTCAGCACACGGCTGGCCAAGTGCCCGGGCAAAGGCAGCAGGAGAGGGAGGCCGAACATGCAGGTCCGGCACAGGACCTGGTCTCTGTGCAGGGACAAACGTCCCTGTGGAGCTGCTGGACCCTACTGCAGTGAACAGCCTGAATGCAAAGGGGTGAGGGAATATGCATTTTCTCTTGCACTGAAAAGCCAGGAGACGGGCTTTCCTGCATACCCCAAGCCTGGATGCTCTGGGAGTAGCACTATGCGAGAGCAGTGGGAAGGGAAGGCGGCTTTGGACTTGGCACCTTTCCTGCAAGCCACCCGCTCTGCGCCAGGATCCATTTTTCCCCCTCAGGCAGGATCAGCTGCAGGGAGGGAGAGGGGAAGACCGCCTGTGAAAAAAGGCTGCTGACAAGCTAAGGATTGCTGGCACACAGCCCAGAGTGCCTGCCCAGAAATGTCCCACAGCTGGGGAAGGGCCTGCTGCCTCCCAGACATGGGGACCTGCAGCACCACTTCTCCTGGCAGCTCCCACCAGCAGCAGCAGCATTAGAAAGGGGGGGATGCAGTGGAGGATACTTACGGGCTGCCCATCCGCCTGGGTGCGGGGCCAAACACACTGGGGAGAGACGAGGTGCCCCCCTGGTGAGCAGAGCAGGTCTGTGGCTGCTGCCAGGTCCCATGTCAGCTGGGCTCTGAGCAGTGCCCCTGTTGTGCCACAGGCAGCTGCCCCTGCTTTCAGTTTTGGTTTTGAAGGCCATGAATCCTCATGCAGAGCTCCTCCCTGATACTGCGTCATCTAAATAGGAGGTGTGTGGTGGAGAGTGATGTGTGTGGAACACCCTGCCATGAAGCTGTTCACAGAGTCCCCCCTAGTAATTCCACATTTAGGCATGGCCTGGAAGCTTCCAGGTAGTACATGAGTTGTGAGCTTGTAATACTTGCACTCATACCCAAGGGCACAAGGTAGGCGAAAGGAATACATGAGGAAGCCCTGAGAGAAACTCTGCTTAAAGCTGGCAGGCAGCTGGTGGTGGGCAGGTGCCTTCCTAACTGGCCTGTGTGTGTGTGGAATAATTTTAGCACGGAAAAGGATCTGGATCAACTCAGATGGCTTAGGCAGGGGTTATGATGGGAGAAATGGGGACAAAAGGCTTGCAGCAGGAAGCTTGGCAGGACAGAGCTGCTGAGCTGAAAGTGGTGAATGGTGGGGACACAGAAGGAAGCCTTGTGGCTGAACACGGCCATCATCTAACACTGGGGCTGCTGGCTGGAAACTGCGGGATGAGCAGAGACCAGAGATGTCAGCTCTGTTGCAGTGAACCATCCACAGGCAGGAGGCATGTTTGGGCTCTCCAGAGGGGAGGTCACACAGTTTGGTCTCACGCCACTCACTTTTCTGTAACTCAGGAAGAAAAAGGGTGTATGATTTGGGTCTGGTGATCAGCCAGCTCCTCAGCTGACCTCAGACTGCAGGGGAGGCTGCTGTTTTGCTGCCACAGGTGGAAGGCCTTCAGGCACATCCTCACTTTGCTCTGGGGTCCTGTTTGCTGGGGTATTCAGGATGGCTGCCACAGTCGGCCTGCTCTGTCATGCCACAGCACTTCTCCCTAGAGCCACTGTCCTCCTGAGGGGTGGCTGATCCCCTCCCCATCTCCTGC